ACGTTGGAAAATAATCATTTTGTAAAGTTTTCGGATACATATGCTTCCATATTAAGTGTAATGTAATGTAGGGCTGTTACCGAAGAACCCGAATTTCGAGTATGTATGCTAACATGTTTTCACGAGAACTGCTAGTTGTTTCTTTCGTTTATGCATCGCTTGAGTTACGTTGGGCTAAGGCAACCACGTTTTCGCCTGATATGGCCCATTGGGAGATCACAGGAGTAAGATATTTCTTAAGCTCACATGCGGACATGCCGGCCAATGACTAATAAATTTAAATGTTATTGTCAGGTGCAATTGTAAACGTACCATTTTTTGTACAATAAGAGGAATTGCCTTCCGCCACATTTTTTGCAATTATTTTGAGATTTCGATAAAGAAGAGGTTCAGATCTTCCTTGAAATGCTAATTAGGACTTTGCGATTTTCACTGGCTCAAGTCACTTCACCATAAATAATTATTATATTCTACGTGCTTACCAAAACCTTCAAAATGAGATAAATTTCAAAGGCATTTACCTAAATAACGAGCTTTTAAAAATTTTTTCCTATGCAGCTGTCTGTGTTTTTCATGGTTTCAGAACCACCCAAACATTTCAACTCATTGCCGAGAAAAATGAAGGTCCACAACAAAAGTTGCGAATGAATATGCCTAAGACTGATTTTAAAAATTTCTATAACAAGTTACCTCTTGAAAACTAGCTGTAGTTATATATTTTGGCGCCGGATGTCTGCGTACTTCATTTTTTTAATGGGAAATTTTGACCAATTGATTAATTTCCTTAAAAAATTATGGACACATCTTCTGTTATAAATGCAAGAGCCAACTCTTCTATTTAAATCGGAACAGTTTTCAGTATATTTGGTTACTTATAGGCTCAGTTCTACAATAACAAATGCAGAGCAGAGTGACAATAATATCAACGGCGATTTTTGAGAAAACTGTTTCACAATGTCCCGCGACAGCTCACTTAAATGTGTGTTAAATTAACTGTCTTCAACTTTATATTGACTGCACAATCGGTTTAGTTACTGTATACTAATAT